TTATGTAATCCTTGTGTAATAAAACATCAGATGTACTGCAAACCATATACTGTATATTCTGATTTAACATACAGATTGGGCCATATTGTGTACATATTATCTACCCTTGACAAATGTAAGCAGGCTGTACTGTACATAGATTTGCATGAATGTATACTGCACATAAACCATTCTCTGTGTAAGTAACTTATTACACAACCCATGGATGTAATATTTATGTATGTACTCTTTGCACTTGTGCACTGAGAGCCACTAGACACCAGAGTCAAATTCCTTGCATGTGTAAACATATTTAGCCAATAAAGCTGATTCTGATCCTGCATAGCAGATGCGTCTTAGCCTGCTGCTGCGCCTCATGTGGTTTGCTGACTTCACATCAGTCTCAATGGGCAGTTGATTCCCACTCCTCACAGGGTATAAGGTGCTCGCAGTGAACCCATCCCCACCCTCTTGGTTAAGAGGTGCCTAGCAGAGAAATGGCCACACAGGAGTCGGCGCGCTGCCCAATCACAGTAGATTCAACATAATAGCTGCTGGTGTCGGGCTCTGTATCTAATGCAGTTTTATAGCAGACGTCTATTATCTCTCTTTGTGAGTTGGCTGACTGAATATGGCTCATTGGCTCCAATAAACATTTTTTTCCATTGCCTTGACTGGACAAAAAGGGCATAAGTGCTTTAGCAGCAGTAACTCTGCTGGATTTCTGCAAAGTTTAAAATTGTTCGATGAAAAATGGTTGTCATATAATTGAAACAGTCTTGGTTCACTGTGTATTGGAGGTTTAGCGGACACGAGGAGGAGTGATATCCATCTTTTCGGACATTTAGACCTATATATTGCCTTACCTGTTCTCTTTGTACTGAAAGAACCCTACTTGCTGCACTACTAGCTCTGAATGTACATTGTCATTGGGTAGCGCTGAAGGTTATAGTGAGACATATGCAGCTATGCATTAGTGCATGTGCATATGGAGTGTTTCTGCATGTTGTGAAGGGAAGGTTGAAAGATGATTGATGTGTTGTGCTATAGTTACCTTTGCTCACCTCTGCCGGGTTGTCTTGTCTTACTGCATCCAAATCACACTGTCATTGACATTCATCCCCTGCTCCTGTCTAATAACCTCAGATGGCCAGTTTCCACTGAAGCGAGGGCAGATCTATTGTGCCACAGAATGTGCCGAAGTGTTTCTGGGTTGATAAGCTCGCACAGCTGAGATGGAGAGAAAGAAGGAGGACAAGCAGGACAAACTGGGTTCCTTTAACTCCTTAGGGACAATCCAAAAAGTCTGTCAAAAACATGAATTCAAAACTTGTAAAATGATGTCTAAAAAAGGCCAAATCCTTTTAAGATTCAGCAGTCTGATAATTCACACTGCAGTATGGTCAGTTCCAGAGCTAACAATAAAACAGCAGATGTCATTTTATTAGAAAACAGTGGCAGAGCGTGCTCATCAACTCTGCAAAGCTTCTTACTCAGCAAGATGCACCTCTGCAATGAGCAGTTTTGTGTTCAGTAAAATATAGAAGCCTTGAGGCAAAACAGGCCATCAGCACTACACAGTCTCCAATATTGTTTTCTTGAACAATGGATCAGACAGTAATTTGCTGTTTCGCAAATGATGCGGATCATAGCAATTATCTCAATATGACAAATACAACGTTCTTTGGCTGATTATCTGTTAGACCTACTGTGGCAGTTTTATGTGTTTGATCACTAGTTGTATGCAGGTATACAACATGAAATATAGTCACACAGCAGTGATTTATTGGGGGTTATAAAATTTAAAATTGGCACATATATTGCCTGCCAAGTGCACATGCTTGGTGTGAGGTATTCCATGTCAACATCCTGTATATTACATGAAATGGACCAATAAAAAGTCACAACAGGATGTATATTATGGAAGCCAGAGATAAAATAGATAACAGTGTTCATTGTCAGCAGCCTGCTTGTGTTATGAATAACAGACCATTACAGATAAATTAGATTTAAATTGCGTGTTTTTTCATTAATCTTATGATCCCAAGCATTACTATCTGGGTCATTCTGGGCATGGTTTAAAGGATCAGTATCGGCTAAGGTAAAGACTATCAAAACCAGGTTCTTTCTTTACTTAACCATGCTGTATGTTGTCCACTCAAGCCTGCAAGTGTTGCAGCACTGTTCTCTTTTACAATAGCCTACTGCGTGACTATTTCCGGGGTTCCTTGGTGACAGGCCAGAATTAAACTGGAATTTTGTTCGGTTGCTCCCTGCAAGCTGGTGTCTGTTCTCTGCCAAAGATCATTTGTAAGGGAAGCTTGTGAAAACTAAAGTGTGCCAAAGTCAGTAGGCTACACCTGTTATTTCAATGTGCAGATATTAGTCAGCAATGCATATTAGTATCAGGATCAGAAAAACTTGATTGAGACCACTCAAGTGACCAGGATCATCCGATGACAGAGTTGAGCTTTTTTGGTGTCAGTGTAAATTTGTTGCCATCCTTTGACTGTTCTGTGCTGGTTGTTAGCCGTGGCTGATGTGTTGGCTAGCGCTAACTGGTAAGAAGCTGAACTGAATGTTTAATGTAATGGCAGTAACAGAAAATATCCTCTCCATTAGATAAGATGATTAGTATTCAGTGGTGGGGCGGTGTGAGTCATAAAATTGTCCACCTGCCCCTGGGTCATTAGCTTGTTTGAAGTGTGCTGTTGTCTCCCATGACGCCAGGGCGATGCCGTCATCGTATGACTCCAGTCTGGGCAGCAGCAGGCTCCACTGTCTCATCTCCTCCTGTAGCGCCAGTATATTGTATTTGATGTAAATTTATAACTGTTTAACTGATAGTATTAATCTGTCTAAATTGTTATGCTTGATTTACGGTTAAACAGTTACTTATTAACATCCCTACAAGGCTGTGCTAAGCCAAAGGCTCCTTCAGCTGTGACTGAGCATGATTCCCATTTTCCTGCAAGTGTGCTGGAGAGATGGTGTGAGATAACACAAATAGTGAATTCTAGTTTTGGTTGTGAGATATTGGGTTACTGAACAGATATTTCGGTGTAAAAAAGATATTCAAATACCTGTTAAGTTACTGCTTTTAAGTAGTAGCATGTCTCCAGCACAAACCTCTAATTCTGCACCAGTTGTGTGAGGGAATGACACTTGTGATGTAATTAAGATACTTTACAGCAAACCTCAGCCAATCGGCCAGTAAGCCATTTGCGCTTTAGGGGAAGTAAAATCTTACTTGTTGCCGCTTAAAAAACAAATTTGATTTCAGAAATGTTTCAATCTCAATATGAGATCATTTGCTATAAATAGCAACAAACCCCTGCTGGGCAACTCATTTCCAGCACCCAGAACAGCATGGCTTTGATTTCGGTCTTACACAGTGTAGTTTAGCACATGGCACATTAACATGTCCAACATGTCTGCAAATTAACAACACCCATTTACTTTTTGTCCCCTTATAATTTTGCTGGATCACATTTACATCTAATATTATGTCTCTGTACACACGTTGATTTATGTACATTACGTTTGTGTGCTTAAAAACAGTAAATAAGATTTACCGTTTTATTTCCCTAGGCATTTGTTTTAAGATTCGTCATTCATTGTTTTTTGGGTGTATAAATTCATGTTTGTGTTTGCAGTTACACCTGGATTTTATGTGTTTTTAACAAACATGATGACATTGTGATTACCTAGGATGCATTTCATGATAGGAGGTTTTATTTGTGCTTTTGACACTGACACATAGAAAAGAGTCTTTAAACTTTCCTTACTTTAACTTTTACTCAAAAGAATAACGTGTAAATTTGTGCTGTTGCAGGGTTTTGTCAGCTCGCTTTTAGCTCAAGTGGACAAGGCGCCAACTGACAAGCTAATGTATCCTCTCCCTGAGCCTGAGAGCCAGCTGGACATGACGGACAGGCCAGTGTGCTGTGTAAGTCATGTGCAGCCTGACCATACATTATTCATTACTCTCATCATGAAGAGGTCCTTCATCCTCTTTTATCTCTCCATCTCCTGGCATTTTACTCTCTCTTCCCCTCTCTCCCCCACCTCTTACTTTCTTAATTCATCAGCACCCATTAGCCACTACAGCAAAGAATAGCCTCTCTCTGTTTGACAGCAGTACTCTGAATCTCTCTCATCCACAACACCTGACAGTTTCCATGATCCCTACCATTTGTCCTTATTTCACTCCGCGTTTGCTTCCCTTAGCCACTTGTAGGTCATTTTTTGTCCTTTTTTTGTCCTCTACTAGATACAGTATTGTACATGATTGATTGCAGTATGGATTTTCCCCCATTGTGATTCAAGGGCATTCTTGAATAGCTGACATAACGCTGGGCTCTGCCCTTCTTCTGGAGTGTGATTGTTGGTGAGTGGAGGTGATAGTTGCCAGGATTGATAATAATTTATTCTTGCAAACAAACATCCAGCAGAGCAGAGCCACAGGCCACATTGATGCCGAGGTTGCCCTCCCGTGGCGTCCTTCTCGTCATTCTCACCTGCCACTGCGCTGCGGTTGCCATGTCAATCCATTACAACCTCGCCTGGGGCCCAACGCAGCTTCATCATTAGCTGTTGTTGTCACTTGGGGATATTTCAACTGTTCACTCTTGTCTCTTTCTTCCACTTTCTCTTTCTCTCTCTCTCTCTCTCTCTCTCTCTCTCTCTTTTCCTCGCATCACCAGCACCACCCTCTCCCATCCTCCCCCATTCCTGGTACAGTAGATGCTTCAAGCATTTCTCCACCCACCCCCCTGCTAGCTCAGCTGCTGAGCCCCACAGAGGACCATGTCCCTGGACTCCCCTTTATTACCATATCATGAGATGTGCCCAAGGCGTGTAGCAATGCAGCGTGCCGCCTGTGTCTTTAAGAGAGAGAGAATATAATGTGTAATGGGGAGGAAATAAGGCATGGAGTGAGCAAGTGAGAGAGAGTGGGTGAGGGAGTGTGAATTTATCATGGGCAAAAATTTGCGCTTCATTCTTAGCTGTGTGCTGAGCATCCTTGCACCGGCATGCACAGTCTCCCAAGGCTCATACTGCTGAAGAGTACGCCCCTCTCTCTCTCACACTCTCACATACACACACACACACACACACACACACTCTCTCAGCCTCTCCCACTCAACCTCTCCCTCACACACATACACACACGCACGTGCTTATAGTCACACACGCGCAGTGCTGTCAGAAGCGCCGCTGCTGGATCAGAGCCATCTCGCGAAGGAGGTTCCAGCGGAGGGAAGAGAAAGCCAGAGTGAGAGCGAGACAAAGGGAAGGAGGACGGTAGAAGGAGAGGAGCGAATAGGAGCACAGGGACCGGCACAAGGAAGGAGAGACCCAGCGCTTTGTGAAGAACAGAAAGCGAGGGACAGGAGGAAGGAGGAGGAGAGAGGAAAAAAGAGGAGGGGGAACAGGAAACGCGATCACTTTCAGCTGCAGCGGTCCGTGTCGCAGCATGGGCAATGCACCATCCCAAGGCATGTCAACCCTATCTCCTTGCATACTTGTGTAGCAGGTATCTTTTTTGATTCTGCGTGTTGTGCTACCCAACCAGCTGGCTGTCCTCCTGTTACACTCTGTGAAAGCAGGGGATGGGGGGTTGGGCTGAGGGCTCGTGGAGCGTGGCATTGCTTGAGGAAAGCGATGCTGTAAGGTAGCATCGCTTAATGGGTAGTGGGTTAGGAGTGGGATGCATGGGGAGATGCTTGCAGGGGTTTTGCATATGAGGATGAGGTGCTGGAAACACTGGGTGGAGGCACCATTTGTGGGAGCAGCAAGAAATGGGAGGGGGCTGGTGTAGAGCAGAAGTACCATCAGTGAAGCAGGTGGTGTGTGTGTGTGTGTGTGTGTGTGTGTCAGGGAGTTGACTAGTGAGAAAGAATTTTGTCATGTGTGTAGTTGAGCGTAAAGTGTGATTGTGCTTGCCTGTGTGTGTGTATTTGTGTGTATTGGAGTAGTGGTTGCAACTGCCGCTGTCCGCCACATGGACGACCTCTTAGAAGTAGAGCACTCCAAGGTGTGTGTGTGAAAGACAACAAGATAGAGAAGAAACAAAGATGAGTAAGACAAATAAAAGAATTGGTGGATGTAATGATTGCTTAATGAGGGGACAAGCCAGACAGCTTTGCCTTGAGTGAATGGGGGATGGTATTGTAAATGGATGATCGGGTGGGTCAACTCCTTCATGTGATGCTCTCTCTATTCCCTTTGGGCCTCTCTCTCTCTTCCTCTCTTTCCTTTTGTCTGTCTCTTTCTTTTAATTTCTCTATTTCACTCTCTTTTACAACCCCTTTGGTAAAGTACCAGTTGCTAGCTTTGCAGCCTCAAAATGCTGTACGTGATAATGAATTGAAGGTCTGTGATTCCTGGTGAGAGGCAGGCATATTTGCATCTAGATGTGCATATACTAGATTTCTGCATGCAGTATTCTGTATATTGGATTTGTGTCCACGTGTGACACCTATGTTTCAGGAAGAGGAAGGGTAAATGTAGAGATGGACATTAAGGAGAGAGTTTAAAGGGGCCGTGGGGGTACAGTAAAGAATTTGGGGAAATATGCTGGATGCATGTTGAAACACTCCTGATATTGAAAGGCTTCTCTGATAGGAAACAGAGGAAAAGTATCCACTCTTAAGATGCAGAGAAATGAAGAGAGAAGGAGGAGAAAGCTGGTGAATGCACACTTTTCAGAGAAAAGGGCAGCGCCACACAGCTTGGGGGACTCATTCATCGCCATTCATTTCCCTTTCCAACTCTTCATTCTCCCTCACCTATTTTTCCCTCCTTTCTTCCTCCCCTCCTCCTCATCCCTTGCTTGCCTCTCACCCAGGGACAGTCTGGTAGCTAGTGGGGAGAAGAAAACCGAGACAAGAAATAGAGGATATGAAGGACGGGGAAAGAATGAAAGGAAGTCTGAAAGAACAAAAGACAAAAAAATGGTTGGCACGTAGATGGACAGGTAAGTTGAAATGCTGAAGTCTGGCAGCAGCATAATTCTTTTTAACAGTGTTGAGTGTCTAAATGAGGCGATTACTTGGATGATTGCAAGCGCTCAGCAGTGGAATAGTAAACAGCTCTTTAAACCTGTTTGTTTGTGAGCTTCTTCTCCGATGCGTTTGGTGTAGAATACTGATGCCCTCAACTTGTCTGGTCAGTTTTTGGGTGCTGTGTTTTGCTTTTTTTGCCGATGACCTTTGGAAGGTTTCATTTCTCATTTCTCCAAGTTGATATTTGAATTCTCTTGTCAGACGCTCTTATCGGTCTTTAAACGCAGAGGAAATCGTTTTTAGGCTCAGGTGAAGGCAGACTCAAGCTGCAGTGTCATGAGACCTTTTGCACTAGCCAGAGGTCTGTGTGTCTATTGGATTTTTCTCTTTATCACTGTAAAGCTTGTCCTTGGAGGTCCGTCTGTAGTCAGTGTCTATTTTAGAGGGATTGACATGGATTAGGCCGAATACTGAGCCATGGGTGTCTTTTTTTTTAAAAAAACAGAGAATTGAGTTGGCTGAATGTAATAGCTGAGTTTATTTTCTATAGAAGCACAACATTCGTCAATCACAACAATCATTTGCTGAAACAAAAGATTTGTCGCTGTATGGACCTGCAGTATTCAGTACTGCTTGTGCTGTTTCTATTCAGGGTACCTATTTAAGTTAATGTAGTGAACGACCACTGCCACAAACTGCGCTAATGTTTTGGCTGTGCATTCAGGCCACCAGTGAGTCACATCAGGCTTAGCTTTGCCAAGTTGGCCAGTAAAAGAGGTATACCATTTACATTTGGTACAGTAGTCACCGCTTAAACACTGCCTACCACAGCAAAAAGAAGCATCTTTATAAGCCCATTAGAGTTGTACCAGTTCACACTGCTAGGCTAAACCATAAAGAATAGATTAAGCAGAGTCAAGCATTAAGCCCAGTATTAGCCTGCCGGAAAGCTAATGCTTATCGTAATGTCACCATTGTGCAGAGACGGCAGATCCTGGTAGCTTTATGCCTCCATGCTATACCTAGTATGTTCAGCTGAGGTTTATGTCAACACACATGTCTGTCTATCTGCTGATCCTCTCTAGTGAGGCGAAGGCAGAACCGTGTCTGGGAGCGGCCTGCAGTGACTGAGATGCTGTTACACTGCATGTTGAAGTGATGTTATACTGTGGGAAATGAGAATACTGGCAAAGGCATACACATGGTGTGGGTGTAGATGATATGTGAGAAAGAATAGGATGTTTTTGTACTGTAAACGCTTGATTTACTGGGTGTAAACTGAGTATGAGGTAATGTGATGACGTCTTTGTCAAGGTAGGCTTGGATGTGTTAGAATTTGATCACAGAAATGTAGATGATTTAGTCTTGACATTGGCACAGACGTGTTGGCAGCATGATGACACACTCAATACTGCAGATGGTTATACTGTTGGAGTAGAGCAGCAGGATACTGGAAAAAATTATATTTCTGCATTATATTTTGCAATATGAAAAATACAGGAATTTCACCAGATGACTTGAATAGCTCTATCTGGAAATGTATTAATCATTCTAGAAATACTGGGGTGGTTTTGTACATCTGCATAGAAAAAAAAAAAGCCGAAAAATGACTTTTAACTAAGACTTTTCTGATGGGGAGGAGGGGTAAATTAAGTAGTTTAATACACTGGTTGACTCACCACAACATCATTATATTCATAAAATAATCTTCTGTCAATCCAGGCTAAAGTGAAGGATCTAACAGGTCAAATTGATAATGCATTTTTGCTTACCTTAAATAACGGAGCTCCCTTATGTTGCTTCCCTCCTGTTCCTTGCTCATTTTCAGGTTGTGGTATTTTTCTAGCGGGTCGTGCCTTGGTTTTTTTATCAGACAGACTTCTCTTGTAGATTAACATTAGTGTTAACTAGATATGTCCGGATCCCCTCTCAGTGATTGGTATCATCAAAGCACTATTTAGGCTATGTCGAGCTATATTGACTCCAATCCGTTCATTTGTTTTATGCTAGCTGTCACACAGGTGTTTTTACTCGTGAATGGTTCATGTACAGCAATGCAACAAGGTAAACCAATCTGCACACTGCCTGCTGTGAAACACCACATGCCATAAACAACAACAAAATGCAGTGTTATTTATGTTATTTATCGGCGTTATGAGCAGTAATTTCAGCTCAGTCTGAGAGTCTCATGTGTTTTACTGTCTTCTCTGGTGCATGGTGGCACAGGTAGAGGGAGCCTAGTCTCAGTCTGAAGCCGTTGAAATCTGGCGCTTGGGCAGTGACTTGCTTGTCAGAAACCAACGAAAAAGTCGTCCTTTAATGACAGCATGATACGCAGCCAGTTGCCGTTACAGTTTAATAGCACCCCGTGGCATCAGGGGGAAACGTGGTGATACAAGGACGAAAGTGAAGGCAGCGAAAATCTAGTGGGGCGGGCAGGAGGGGTGGTGGATGGATCCAACAAACATTGACTTTCACCCGAGAGAGCGGTGTTTGCCTACCATAGGATTCTAAAGCCAAACCCTGTTCTTTTATCCTAAATCTAATTACGTGCTTTTGTTGCCTAAACATAACCACATGTTTTTGTTGCCTAAACATAACCATGTGTTTTTGTTGCTTTAACCTAACCATGTGTGTTTGTTGTTGAAGGAAAAAAACGTCAATCGTGTTATTGCACCAACATAATGCGTTTATTTCCTGTGAAAACAGAAGTCTATCTTGAAAGAAGACAATGCATGTAACAGGCAGAACTTGACACGGTTTCCCAGAACGTCAACAACCAACGCACCCAGGGTACCTTGCATGTTGTATGTGGATGTGGAAAGCCCATGACCAAAACGTCAATATGTGATGAGGTCGGAATGAGACTGTGTTGGTGGAGGAGAGACAGACATTGGTCAGTCACAGTCACCACACCACTACAAGTGCAACAAAAGTCCCACAAGCAAAAGCCTGTAAAAGTAGGCTAATTTATCAATGTAATTCACACAAAAGATGTACAGATGTTCTCCTTTTGTATCAAGCAGCAAACAAGTTGATGTATGACAAGTAAATTTGCCTTCCCCTTACATTGCATGTCCTGCGATGTGACTATTGCTCATGTGCACACTACAGTGTTGATACTGAAAAGACATGTCATGCAGCCCTCTGTAGGAGTATGGATGAAGGAGGATAAACCTTTGTAGGGTTTTCTATGTGAGTTCAGTCATATATCAGTCTGACATTTACATCATAATACTTAGTTAATACCAAGCGGATATAAGCTGGATAGGCATTAAGGAAAACAAAGCAGATAAATGCTTTTCTGATAGGATAAAAGATTTTGTTTTCAAACCAGCTGAGCCCTGCTGGTCTGTTTGCCATCTTTTCATTTCAAAGGACAATAGTGAAAACCATAGACAGGTGGACTGTACCAGGTCATGTCATCATGTGCCTGTATGATATTTGTCTAACATGCAAAGACACAACCTGATTTGAACCACTATACATCA